TTCTCCTTTCTTCCCCTTCTCCTTCTCCTCCTCCTCCTCCTTCTCCTCCTCCTCCTTCTCCTCCTCCTCCTTCTCCTTCCTGTAACATTTCCTGTAATGCTGGCATGGTGGTGAACTCCTCTAGCTTTTTTCTTGTCTAGGAAGTTCTTTATCTGTCCTTAAATTCTAAATGATAGCTTTTCTGTATAGAGTAATCTTGGTTGTAGGTCCCAGCTTTTTATCACTTTGAATATATCCTGCCAAGCCCCTCTGATCTGCAAAATTTCTGCTGAGAAATCAGCTGACAGTCTCGTGGGAGCTCCCTTGTAGGTGACTAATTGCTTTTCTCTTGTCGCTTTTAAGCTTCTCTCTTTGTCTTTAACCTTTGGCATTTTAACAATAATAAGTCTTGGTGTGGGCCTCTTTGGGTTCATCCTCTTTGGGAGTCTCTGTGCTTCCTGGATTTGTATATCTATGCCTCCATCAGCTTAGGAAAGTTTTCAGTCATTATTTCTTCAAATAGGTTCTCAATTTCTCGATATCTCTCTTCTCCTTCTGGTACCCCTATGATGTGAATGTTGTTACATTTGATGTTGTCCCAGAAGTCCCTTAAACTATCCTCATTTTTTAAATTATTTTTTCCTCTTATTGTTCTGAATGTTTTTTTCCTGCTACCTTATCTTCCAAATTGTAGATTAGATTCTCTTCTTCATCTAATCTGCTGTTGACTCCTTCTAGTATATTCTTCATTTCAATTATTGTATTCTTCATTTCTAACTGGTTCTTTTCTATGGTTTTTATGTCTTTTTTAATGCTTACTATCTATTTGTTGAAGTCCTAAATTCCTTGAGCATCCTTATGACCAGTGTTCTGAACTCTGTCTCTGTATCTAGTAGATTGCCTGCCTTCATTTCATTTGGTTCTTTTTCTGGAGTTTTCTCCTGTTCTTTCATTTGGGACATATTTCTTTGTTTCCTCATTTTGTCTACCTCTCTGCGTTCATGTCTACATATTAGGTATATCTGCTATGTCTCTCAGTCTTGGCCAGTGACCTTATGTAGCAGGTGTCCTTTTGAGTAGGTGTCTTGTGTGACCCAGTAGTGCAGTCTCCTTGATCACCTGTGCCGGGTGCTCCATGAGTGTCCCTTTTGTGGGTTGTGTGCGTCCTCCTGTTTTAGTTGAACCTTGATTGCTATTTGCATGTCAGAAGGTGGGATTGACTCTCAGGATGACTGGCTGTGGGGTGGCCCCACCCATAGCATATGAGCTGCTTTGTGAGGGCTTACCCCATGAGTGGAATTTGCCCCTGTGGGTTCCTGTGTCTGTTGAGACCATCTTTTGAGTGTGCTACTTTGGGGCTGATCAGGTAGTGCTCTGTTGTGGCCTGAAGCCGGTATCCAGGTACGGTGGTTCTGGGGTCCCTTGGGAGGGGTTCCTATGTAGATCAAGGTCAGCTGCAGCCTGTGACCAGCTTGGTGCTACCTGGTATAAACTGCAAAGCTATCCGCTGTGTGTCATTGCATGGCCACACTGCTAACTGAAGGTGGCTGCCACCAGTACCAGGCCTAGGGAAGCTCAGCAAAAGACCCAGGTCACCCCAAGGCCTGAGGCTGCCAGCCGGCTGCTCTTAAGGCTCAGCCACTGAAAGTGCCTCGGGTGACACTTGAGTTGGGTGAAGCGGGGTCCCAGGGAGTCTCCAGGGTAAGGAGAGTTTGTTCACCAGGTTAATGCAGATTCAGGTTTGGTGCCAGTGTTGAGCCTAGAGCCACTCTGAAAAATGCCCAGTGTACACCAAGGCCAGCCACTGCCTGCCTTGGACCTGTAGAACCTGGAGAATTGTCCAAGAAAGACTGAAAGTTTCTCTTGTGGCTCGCAAGCGGAGGCTGGCTCTTTGTTGCTGAAAGAGGTTCCTTCAGTGAGTGGGGTGGGGCTGGTAGCCTGGCTGCCAAAAGTGCCTCCAGTGGTGTGTAAGTTGGGTGGGGTGGTGTCCTGGGGAGTCACCAGGGCGGAGCAAACAGATTTCACCAAGCCAATGCAGATTCAGATTTGACTATGTCCGGGGGAGGGCCTAACACAGAAAAGATGGCGCCTGCCTATAGGCTGTACTGATGAGGGCTCAACACAGTGATAATGGTGGCTGTCCTTTCAGGCCTTGCCATGAAGCCACACAACTCAGTTTTTTCCTGAATGTCTCTGGCACCTCTCGAGTCACCGAGCCTCTGTCGGAGCCCAGGGTGAGTGCCTGCAAGTGCATCTGGGTTTCCTGTAGCCTTCCGTTTCACCCCTATGAATGGAAACCCTGATGATTTTCACAGCCAAATTTTCTGGGAACTCTTTTTCATGGCACTGGAACTCTGGGCTGGGGAGCCCCGTGTGGGGCTGAGGCCCCTTGCTCCTCCTGGGGGACCTCTGCAGCTGAGATATCCCTCCTAATGCTCAACCGCTATATAAGGGTACGGGGCAGGCTTGTTTCATGTCTCCGCCCCTCCTACTAGTCTGGATGTGGCTTCTTCTTTATATCTTTAGTTATAGGAGTTGTGTTCAGCTAGGCTTTAGATAGTTAGTTCTCCAGGTTGATTGTTCTATAATTTAGTTGTAATTTTAATGTGGTCATGGAAGGAGAAAAGCACAGTGTTTACCTACTCTGCCATCTTGCCCAGAACCCCCTATCAGTCTTTTAATGGTTAGTAGTTCTTGTGGCATTTTTCCCCCCAGGGAAGAGGCTGACATAGGGAGCAGCAGGCTTGAGGGGCTGTGTAGAACACTGCCAAATTCACATTTACCCATGTACCAGATGTAGGTTTTAATTTCAAGCATAGGTTTTAATGATCTATTGGGTGTGCAAAGGGGGACATAGTCATTCTTATATTTCCAACTGTAAGCCTTATTGTTTTACCTTCCATAATTATATCTCTGATCCACTTTGAACTGATTTTTGTGTATGGTATGATGTAGGTGTCAAGGTTTATTTTCTCCCATGCAGATATACTGTTGCTTCAGCATCATTTTTTTATTAAAAAGACCACATCCCCCCCACCCCACCCCCCCCAAAACAAATGAAAAACAAACCCACACTGAATTATAGAGGCATCTTTTTCAGAAGTCAAGTGACTGAATGTGTGTAGGTTTGTTTCTGGACTCTTTGTTCTGTTTAATTGGACTTTTTCTTTATCCTTGAGCCAAAACAGCACTGTCTTAATTACTGAAATGTTACATTAAGTCTTGCAATTTGGTAGTGCTAAGTCCTCTAATTTTTTTGTCCTCCAAGATAGTCTTGGCTATTATAAGTCTTTTGCGTAGATTATAAATTTCCATAATATTGTTAGAAATAGCTTGCTAATTTCTAAAAAAAAATAACTTAGAAATTTGATTGGCATTGCACTGAGTTTATAGATCAACTTGGAAAGAACCGACATCTTAACTATTTTGAATCTGTCAATTCATGATAATGATGTATCTGTTTATTTCATTTACTTAAGTCTCCTTTAATTACTCTTCTCTTTGGAAATCTTCAGCATAGAAGTCTTGCTCATATTTCACTTGATGCTTTCTTTATTTTGATGTTTTTGATGCTATAATAATAAATGTTATTTTAATTTTCTCCCAATTATTTGTTGCTAGCATAAAAAATACATAGTATCTTTATTGACCTTATACCCATGGGTTTGTTTGTTTGTTATTTGTTTTTTTGAATTGTCTTGTTTACTTTCAAATTATTTGGATATTTTCCTCCCTACTCTAGTCAGAGAACTGTACATTTCAATTTTTTTGAATATTTCAATTTTCTATACATTTCAATTTTTTTGAATATTTTGTTGTGATTTGCTTTATGACCCGGCGGTGGTCTGTTTTTGTAATGTTTCATGTGTATTTGAAAAGAATGTATATTCTACAGTTGTTTAACATTTTATATCCTTAAACATTTTATATCAGTTATTGGAAGGATGTGATAATATCTTCAAGTCTGATTGTAAATTCGTCTGTCTTTTTTTCCTTTGTGTGTGTGTGTGTGTGTGTGTGTGTGTGTGTGTGGTAAAATATACATAAGGTCTGCCATAGTGTTTTTTAGTTTGGTAAATTTTGTTTTACATTTTTTGAGTTCATTCTTATTAGATGCATATAAATATAGGATTGTTATATCATCTTGAGGGATTGATCTGTTTATCATTAGGAAATGTTTCTCTTCATTTTCTCTCTTTATATCTCTTAACAATTCTTTCCTTAAAGTCTACTTTATTTGATAGTTTAATCACACCACCTTCCTTTTGTTTAATGTTTGCATAGTGTATTTACTTTCAATATATCTGTGGCCTTAATTTAAAAAGTGTTTTATGTAGAAAGCTTTTTAAGTAGACCTTGCTTTGCAATGGCATGCTGATGTGAAATTCAAGCACAACCACAGTTTCCTTGCTTTGTGGTTCCCATAAGAGGAAAATGGTAATGGCCTTCGATAGGGACTCGGCAGTTTAGACTTGATATAGATAATAGGAGAGAGCTCTCCGTACTGGTGGAATGTTTTGATACAACAAATTACCACCCTCAAATTTATTTATTTCTAAAATGTTTTATGTTCATTATGCATAGTGTAAGGTTAAAGAAGAGTAGGCTCGAATTGTGGAATGGCTATCCACCCACTCGGCACCCTCAGAAGCAAAGATGTTGCATAGTCAGTGCTATACAAACCACTACATTTTTCTCAGAAAAATTTCTAATTGAACTATTTCATATTGGAATTATAGATTAATCGGTGAATTTTTAAGTGGTAAGGAACCTCAGGAATCATCTCGGGCCCACTGTCATGCTTCTGATTACCTGAATATGGAAATATAAAGCGTAGGTTCATGTTTGTCACTCGTGCCATGCAGGTAAATGGATAGCTGAATACTTGAAACTTTGATTTTAAATGTAATTATGACTTTTAGAAGTAACAGCTGGTTTAAAAATGGACCAAAGTGTAAATAAAATGGGCACCCAAAGAAAATTTATCAGGAAAAGTTGTTTTTACTTTGCAGCTTGCAGTCTTAGAGAAAAGATTTCATCATTTTATATGTGATGTGGCTTTCTGGGCTCCTGACATCTTCATAGAATTTGACCGGAGCTTCCTTCTCTTGAAAATAAATGGGCATTTTCTTGCTCTCCACACGCATGAGCTTTACTTCCAGGGGGCCCAAGCTTACATAATCCTGCAGTGAAGAGAATAGGAGAGGTTACTCAGCAAATCTGATGACCTTTAATAGATCAGATTTTCTTTATTATATAGTTGGCTTTTACTTGACAGAATTCATTGCCCTCCTAATTGCCTGAATGCTGTATAACATGTGAAATATGAGAGCTACTGACAATAAAAAGCCTCTCAGTAAACTTATATACCCAGCAAGGCATGGTAGGCAAGAACTCCCAAAGAGCAGGCATCATGGCAGGCAGGCTTTTGAGGGGCTGGGCAGGGGCCACCACCTGGAGTAGGGAGAAAAATCTTTTGTAAGCGCTTTAGCTGGTAAAAGAAAGTGTTGGCTATATATATAGATAGGCCTCTGCTGGCCAGGATATAACCACAGCAGAGTTTTCCATATTATTCAAGAACAAAAGGAAAGATCTGCACGTAAGCTATTTGAGGTTAGGGTCTGCCATATAGTCATCTTTGAGACTTCATTTCTTCTTGTTCTCCCCCTTAAATTCCCAAGCATCTAACAAGAACCTAGAATGTTGTGGGATTCTCAAAAAACATTTATTAGAATTTAGGAATATCAAAGAATGAAAAAGGCAGGCAACATTTTATTATTCAAAATTGCATATAACTATATTTAGTTTTTAAAAAACATAATTACAGAGCTACAGTAAATGTAAGATAGGAGAAAAGCAAATTGATAGACATCTATCACATATTTCAGAATCCTAATATACTGTATTAGTCTTCTCAAGCTGTCATAACAAAATACCATAGACTGAGTGGCTTAAACAACAGATATTTATTTCTCACAGTTCTGGAGGCTAGAGCGTCCAAGATTAGGTGCCAGCATGATTGGGTTCTGGTGAGAGTTTTCTTCCTAGCTTACAGATGGCTGCCTTCTCACTGTGTCCTCACAAGGTATACCCTATTGTTATGAGGCCACGGTCCTATCAGATTAGGGCCCCATCTTTATGACCTCATTTAACCTTAATTACCTCCTGAAGACCCTAAGTCCAGATACAGTTACACTGGGTCCATAACATAAACGATCCTATTTTCACCACATCAGAAACTTCCATGGTAAGTAAGGTTTTTCAGTCAACCAAATGGTATGCAATTTTGGAATTTTGTAGACAATTGTTCACTAGCCTGAGATCATCATAACATACTAGATGTCATGATTCCAAGATACTCATGGGGAGTTTGAATGTTATAGAGACTAGAACTTTGGTCCTTAAATAGTCAATTGATGGCAACAGGACTGAGTTGTAGTTAGTTGAAATGATTTTTGTTGAATTATTCAGTTTCTTCTGCTTTCTTATATCACTCTTTCACCTATAAGACTTTAAGTTCTAGGAGAACTTTTAAAGTTACTGAGTATACCAACAAGGAAAATAGCTTGGAGGTAGATGTAAGAGTAATTGGAATGTACCAAAAAGGTTTCAACATAAAAAGCCTTGATACTCCAGGTACATGTGGCAGCTTGTACTTTTCAAAGATGGCTGTACTAATATATAGCTTATCTTACATGTTTTTCTTACAAAAAGTGCTGACTTTTCTCTTTCAAGATGTACAAGCTACATTTCCTCTCCTCTTGGGGTAGAACTTTGTAACTACATCAATTAATAGATTATGATGGAAGGGATGGTGTATGATTTCTAAGGCTAAGTCATATAAAATGTGGCAGCTTTCATCTTTGTCTCTGGGAATGCTTGCTCTTGGAGAAGTCAGACACCATAACAAAAGGACAATAAAAGTGCCTTATAGAGAGGCCCATGTGAAGAGAATCTGAGGCCTCCCAGCATAGCCAGCATCCACCTGCCAGCCATGTGAATGAACCAGCTTGGAAGTGGATCCTCCTGCCCTCATTAAGCCTTCAGATACTGCAGCCCCAGCCAACATATGACTGCAACTCCCTGAGAGTCAAGTGAGAATTGTCTTGTGGAGCCCTTCTCAAATTCCTCATAAACAGAAGCACTGAAGGAAAATAAGTAATTATTGTTATATGCCACTAAGTCTGGGGTAATTTGTTATGTAGCATTAGATAACCTATATGATACACTAGTAATGGAGGTCTGTATATGAATATAGGCAGCAAGCTGGGCAAGAGTAGGAGTGAAAATAGTATCCAATGACAGATGTGAATGGTGGGTAAATTTTACTAATAATTGCAAATAGAATTTTTCAATATCCATATTTCAAGTTAATTTTCTCTATTAATTAATAAAACAGCATTATCTTAGTAGTCAAAATTTTCTCATGAATCTTACCTTGAAATCCCACTCATCCTCATACAGTAAGTATTTCACATCAGGGGCCTCAAACTTTGTACTTGAGTCCTGTTCTTTATCTGTCTTCAGATGCTCATCACATCTGATGCTGTCCTCATTACTAACATCTAAAGCACTGATCTCAACTGATGGGCTCATCATGTCTCTACTTGTTTCTTCTACAGGTTGCAATTTTGACTCTTCTGGGATGAATGAAAATTAAATAATTATATATAATTTTGGACAGATAAAAATAAAAATACTATTCACAATTAGTACATTTTTAATTTGAAAGACCTTTGCGAATCTCCTGGAGGAGACAAATTCGAGAATTAGAAATGTAGAACCTATGTATTTAAGTGAGAGTGAGCCCCATGTTCAGAATTCTAAGTTGTATTTTCTTCTATTGGCTAATAAGTTACAGTAATTATGGGAACCTTTGCGTGTGTTGATTTTTTTAGTTGGTTGGCTAAATTGGAAACCAAACCACGCCAATGCAGAAAACCTCTCTACCACTATCTATTTAATTCCTGTGAAACATGGTGACTTTGACTTGAATATAGAACTAGAGAAAGCAAATGGGTTAGGACAAGTGCTGCAAGAAGAGAAATATGAGGAGCTGGTGTGTATCTCTTCACTGAATAGCTCTTGGATGTAAGGTACCTGTCCATAATAGATGCCCAATAAGTGTTTGTTAAATTAAAAAGAAACCACCATCATTACAATAGAATAATACCTATATATATTTTTGGAACATCTAAAAGCACTTCTTCAGGTGGCACTTCCTGTCCAGCAGCTTTAGTAAGATATAGTCGCCTGAAAGAAGAAATAAGAAAAGCCATCTGTCAGCCAGCAAATACTGTGCTACTTGCTCATTAGTGTTTATCTTTCTGCCAGATGCTGAAGCCATATAGATGAAAATGAGACATAGTTTCTACTCTTGAGGAGTATAAGGCCCAGTGGGGTGGCAGACAGGCTTACAGTATTTTAGGGTGATAGTTTGTACAATGATGGGTAATTAGTGTGGTGTGAGAAGTGCTGTGGGGCAGAGAGAAGAAGCTCCTGGATTAGCTTAGGAGGCAAGAGATGGTTTCCAGGAGTAGAAGAAAGCCGAGCTGAGTCTTAAAGAGCCAGGAGCTGTTTGCCAGGGAAGAGCATGGGGTGAAGGAAGGGCAACTCATGATAAGGGAATAAACACACCTAAAGTCCCAGAAATGAGAGTGAGCATGGCACCAGTCAGGTTGCTGTTGTAATAATCCAGGTGAGAAATGATAGTGGCCTGAACGGGATGGTTTTAAAATAAAGAGAAAAAGAGAAAGACAGTGAGCAGTAGAAATCCAGATGACATCTAGGTTCTGGATTTCACTGAATGGCATGTTTCAGCTACAAGCCCCGTGAGTTGTGTTTGCTGTTGCAGCTCTGTGCACAAGTGTTTAATCTGCTGCCTTTTTGGATTCCCACTGAATTATCAGTCAGAAAATATGATGCCTTGAAAGCTCCGTAGGGCATTTCCATTAAGTTTGCCTGAAGACAGCATGAAGCAATTGGACCCTTGTAGATATGCAAACAACCCCCTATGCTTTTCATCCCAGCAAACAATCCCTGAATTGTGTGAATCCCTGGTTTACACACTGTCAGCTATTTAAAGAACACGAATAAAGTATTATTCAAAATGCTTAATTTAAGTCTTCAGCAAATAATGTAACTACACGCAGTGTCTGTATATCTGTAAAACCTTCTTAAGACTTAGCTTAGTAAGGATTAGTTTCACGTATAGCTCTGGTCTGTAGGTAGACAGACCAGAATGAAAATCTCCATAGAATTCTCTTTTGGTTTTATCATTTTGAATAATTAAGATCTTACTAAATGCCGTAACCTTTATAAATCTGGCTTCTCTCTTAATCATTAGTTTATTGCCACTTTTGTACCACCATAGGGCAGCAGCACTTGATATTTAACAATACAGAAAATATTTTAAAGAACGTTATTATATGAAGTCACCATCCTACTACTATGATACAGAACTGAATTTTCAACAAAAAGGTGGAAAGGGTAGTTACTATAAAATATACAATATGTGTTATATTTCTTTGACTTGAAAGTAGGTACAGTAAAAGCTTCTGGATATATTTAAAGTTATCCTTCTGGATAGGAAGTGTAACAGATAACTGAGAGTTTACATGTTTCTCTGTTTCTTTATGCAGATCTTTCTAAAATGTCCTGAACGGTTGCCTCAAGGAGTTTATAATCTAGCAAGGAAGCATACACTAAATAAATACTCACCAGTGTGATAAACGTGAGTTACAAAGAAAAAGTTCAGGGTGCTATGGAAGCATTTACTGGGGTACATAACTGAGTTCTTATGTTGCCCATGCTGTTTCTTTTTCCTTACACAGATTTTGATTTCATCTCTCTCAACTCTGAAACAAGACTAAACACTCATATATCTCACCAGAGAAAACTAACCCACAGAGTATTGATGGATAAGGTAGATTTCACTGAAGATTTTTGTAGGGAAGACAGAGGATTGGGTTAAATTGCATAAGACACAGCAAACAACTTAATGAAAATCCCCATTAAAAGTTTTTCATCTCCCTTCCTGTCCTTGCCAAGTTCTCTCTGGCCAATGAAAGAGTTCTCTTGTTATAATTAGCACTTCACATTCTTGTCAGATCCAAATCAGATACACCAGACGGAGCTGACCTAAGCAGGAAGTGGGGTTGGCAATTTATAGGGTAGCTCTTTTCTAAGGGTTGACCGGTTCAGAAAAGAGGAAAAGAGGACAGTGGAGAGCAGGTAGAGCAGTGGTTAAAAGCCACAACACCAGCAACAGCTGGCAGAGATTAGACATGATTACAAGAGGGTGGCAGTAATAGCAGATGGCAAGGATTAGCGGTGGACAGAAGTGTGGAGCTGGAGACCTTATTATAGAGAGGAGGGCTGGCAAAAGAGATTATTGCCTACTGTGGGGACAGTGAGACCCTCACCTCCTGAAGGGCACCAGCTTGAATCTGGAAATACAGGAGTTCACCAATCAACCAATTTATTCATCTGCTTACATCACCTACAATGGTATTTACCTCTCTAGGATAGCACACGTAAATTGTGGAAAGGAGGCAGGTTGCCTCTTTCTCTATCCTGCCCCACCCAGCTTTCAGCCTGTGAGGTAATTGTACTATGCCCCAATTTCTCCAATCTTGTATCCTGACACCTATCACTTAACCCAGCAAACAAAAACTCCACATCTTACCTGCATCCACCCTTCTTAGAACACATTAGGAAGTTTGTAAGTAACATTCTTTCTTATATCTCAAATAGCATTTTTCCATGCCACACGAGCAACAGGAACTTCTTGGGTGAAAATTTTTTCCTGGCCTTTCTACCATGTTGAACTTCTCTGTTTTAATTCCTAGACTCAGACATTTCTCTCCCATCTTGCACGTTTCCTCTTTCCTTAAACATGCTACTATTTAGATTATTTCTTGTTTCTAGATACTTGTTCAAATTATGAATGCCACTTTGAATTTTTAAATTCTGTCATATTCCAGGGCTCTAATTTTCTATCAAAACTGATATATAAAGACTTCTTCGTTAGGTAATAAAAAGAGAGAACCTAAAATACAAAGCCATGGACACATTTGGTTTTTCTTGTGCAGGAATAGATGTGACTTGGAATTATAAGCTATTTTTTCTGTCTAGGAAGTATTTTGATTCTTTCATTAACTGTCAAAGGAAATGATTCGATAGTCCACAAAGTAACTGGAAGCCCAGAACACTTCCAGAAGGTACCACAGAGTTGATCACTCCCGCCTTTTTGCTAACTCTATACCTAATATACTTTCCACTTCACTGTTACGCATTTAACTTCATGCCCATATTCCCTGCTGGCCTGGAGGCTTCTGAAGGTCAGCATTTTTGGTGTTCACGTTAAGTTTTTACTATTATGACTGCAGCGCATTGCTAGAAAAAGCAAGTCAAAGTTTGCACTGTACCGATGGTCAGTTGTAATAATCTTATACCTTCACCATGGCCTTTTTATGAATTGCTTTCTTTTCAACTTTTGCAATCTGGCTGATGCATTAAAAAATTAAATCATCTTAAAAATAACTTTTTACAGATACAAATGTTTACAAAATACTTTCTAGAAATATTAAAATTTTTCACCTGGGTATTTTGAGATCCACAAGTCTACAATTGAATAGTTGATCGATGAGCACCAAATTTTCTTCTTCCAGTTCATGAATAGCTTTTTCCAATATTTCAACTTCCTTCCTATGATTTGCAATCTGTTCTCAGAAGATGAGAATGAATGGTTGGTACTTATTGATTTAGTTCTATTTAGTGTTTGATAAGAAATTCAATTCCTAAAAGTGCTTTTGCCTGAGGGGAAGATATATCCAGTATTATTTATTAGGAATTTCCTTTGTCTTTCCTCTCTAAAAAGGTCATTTGCAGAATTTGTTTGCATGGTTAAGTAGTTATTATTGAATGACAGGAGTTGTTCTTTTCTATCCTTCAAAAACATCACTGGACTTATACACGAGTTGGAGGCAAAGATAAATAAGAAAATAGTACTAATGAATTTATCAGTATGCTGTATTAATAGCTAAGTGAGGATCTATATAAGGTTAACAAGAATGTACATTTTAGGCAGAAGGAACCACATATGTAAAGGCACAATTATTTTGGTGTAGATAGATATAAAGTAGGGGTGGGGAGAAGTAGGAGAGGAACTGGGTAGTTAGGGAAGAGGCAAATAATGCTAAAGAGTCTGGTTTTTGTCTTGCAGGTGATGAAAGGTCACAGACAGACACAGCAGGTTTAATTAACATTTACTGAAGAAATATGGCTAGCTCAAATATAAACAAAATTTGCTGGTTCTATTGATACAGTTCTCATCGGTCTTTAAGACTTGTATTTTGATAATTTTTGTCTAAAGAAGGCTTGATACTGGGAAGAATACATAGAAGAATGTTACTAAATAGAACCCAGCTCACCTCCCTCCCTCCCAGAACAGCATGAGCTGTACAGGTGCTGGAATAAGACGTGCTCATGGGCAAAGGTCGGAATAATAGAAGAATTAAAAGTAAGAGTGTAAAATAGAAAATGATAGGCTGGTGAGAATAACAAAGATAAACTAATGTGTTAAAGGAAAAAGTAATGTGTCTTGACAAAATATAATCAGACAAAAAAGGCACAGGGGTTTAGATTCAGTATCTCTTGTTGGGAGATGCCAAGAGTGTAACCGAGATGAGTACTTAGAAAGAGATAACTAACAATTTTGATTTGTAATTGAGACTTAATTATTGTATTTTAAAATCTGGAAGCATTCAGTATATGATCATATGCATACCTCTATCATATAAGTCATTTATTAAATGACTGAATTCTTACTATGGGCAAGGTTCTGTGCTAGATGTAGAAGGATGCAAAAGTGAATTAGGCATGCCTACTCTCAAAAGGGTTTATAATCCAGTGAACAAATATGCAAATAACATATTATAAAACAATACCAGTGTCATAGAAAAGGCTCAAATATTGCTGGTGGATTGGAGTTAGAAAGAATATATTATCCACCTGCTTTAACCAGTTTAGCAAAGTCATTTAAGTCCGTAATACTAAATTACAAAACTAGGGATTGGTGCTTTAGGATCTCATATGTTGAGAGATAATCAGTTTGATTACAAGCTTGAATGCCTTAAGGAAAATTTTATAGTTTTCAAATGTCAAAGGATGAGAAAGAAATTATAGTTAGAGGTTATAAACAAGAGGAATTAATAGAACATTTGGAAATGTTTGACCTAAGGGCTTGGCATGCTTGGGAGGCAGCACAAGCAGTTCTTGGTCTCTTTCCAAAGCTGAAAATGAAGGCCCTTTTGGGGAGATAAGTCCGATCTTCTAAGCTAAGGCTATCCTCTGGCATCGCCTACCGCTTTAGAGTACTAAGTAACGTTCTCATCAATGGCTATCTCCCGCCCAGCCTTTTGAAATGTTAGGAAAATGAAAACTAGTTTCTTTTTTATAGCCATATAGATACTTTTAGATTTTTGGGGTAAGAAAGTGAAAAGGAGGAAGTAGAAGACCACTTTTCCCTCCTCAACCCTGCTCTTCCCCAAACTCCCAAGAAACGTACTTAAGAAATTGAGAAAGATAATTTAGTTAAAACTTAGTAGTTAATAATTTAGTCAGAGATCTACAATCCTGAATAAGATGTACGCTCTTGAAATTTTCCCCTGCAAGAGCTAAGTTAACTTTATGCCTCCTCACACTTGAAACTCTGATTGGTAACCTCTTGGAATCCGTTTGTCTAGTTTTTCTGGCTGTCCATTTGTTAAGTTAGTCTAAGTCACTTGGAAATTTAATTTTTCTTCATTTTTACAATAAGCATGCTAAATAAAACCAGATAATGAAAATCAAGCAACAGGATGTCTCATATTCTTCCCAGGGACCTAAGCTTTTTGTTATTGTTGAGAGTTAAATGGAGAAATATTTTTAGGAGTACCATTATTAAGTATCCCTTGTTATTCATTCTAAACCTTCCTCAAATAAATTAGCTGACACACACTGTTGTATTTCCAGGCAATTTTCAATTCTTGTGATAGTACTTATAACCAGAAATGGTTTTAATTAATTTTGTGAATATGTTTAATAATGCTAGAATGAATATTTATTGAAATAAAGAGAAATTCAATTTGTTGAATTTCCTTGAAATGATTTGTTCTTTATTACTAAGCTCTTTTTGCTCAGGATTCAATTAAACCTGACGTTTTTCTGTCTTTTATTTCCACTAAATTATGAGAAGTAAAAAATAAAACAAAACAAAATGTAATTTGTGGCTTTGGTAGCAAGGATCAAGTCACCAAAACAGCCCTTCTTATCAGTTAAATGTAAATTTTATAGCCATTTTCTCTAAACCTAGCATCTATGATACCTTATGAGTTGAGCTATTAAATTATAATCATCAGGATCATACTTTTGATTTAATAAAAATATAAGAACTAAATTCCTCCCTAATATTCTTTAACTACTGAGCTCATCTTGAGTTTTTAAATCAACATTTCTTTTTAATAATTGGGGATTACTTTTTGAAAATTATGTGGACTCCCATTTACCATGACTTTATAAAGATAATTTAAAAAGAAATTGTCAATATCATAGGAAGCATGTTAAAATTTAAATTCCTTGTTTCCTGGACTCACCAACTCTATTTGGTCAAATAGGGAGCAAGGAAAAGGGAAGAGGGGAAGGTGACAGTGACATTTTTACCTTAAGTATCTAAGTAGATGGTAGAAAAAAAATGCAGGAGGAGAAAATTGAAGGAGAAATTCAATGAGTTCTGCATTAGGTATGTTGGATTTGAAATTCCTTTGGGACATACAAGAGAAAATACTTGGTGGGTAAATAAAAATATAGATCCACAGCTAAACACACACACAATTTAGTGCTGATGATGTACGTTTGAGAATCACATACAAATAACTTGATAACAAGAGCTGTGTGTAGTTGAAATGAATTCTCCCAAAAGATGGTGTATTTTTCTTTCACAGATGGCATCTAAGCATAAGTTTGGTTGCTACTTGTCTGGATGTAAAAGAAATTTCAGAGTGCTGTAGTGAGTTTTGCACATCCTTTGTAGCATTCTTATAACATCTAAACCAAAAATTACCTGCCTGTTTCATCCAATAACATGCTTTCACATCTTCACCCAAGATCTAAGCCATGTATTTGATTCATCCCTCCAATGCATATATCTATACTCATGGACATTCTTTCATTCAGTAACTATTTAATGAGCACAGCTTATTTATTCGATTTCATGGATATATACCGGTCAAAAGGTATAGCCCGCTCTTTGCAGTGACAAGGCAGATGCATAAACTGACGATTTCAACATATTTTAGTATGAATTACAATGAAACAAGAAAACCACTGGGTGAAAGGCACTTAAAACTTCCTGGGGGAGTCGCCAAATGATTCACTAAGAAATTGATAATCGAAGTCAGTGCCAAAGAAAGAGTTGAAGTTCTTCAGGCAGATGAAGGTAAGGAGGTAAGGGCAGAGGGACTAGTATGTACAATGCCAGGAAAATAGGGCAGCATCCCATAATCAAGTAGGTCTAGAGGGGTCCTCATATGACCATATCCAGCAAGAGCAGTATTACAACTCTGGTATAAGGACACAGGTGGACAGCTGGATCCATTATTTCCTGTGCGCTCTCCAGAAAGAAGCGTGGAGAGAGCCTGAGGACCAAGCTGGTATGGGACGTAGAGACCACAGTGGGTAGGGACATCTTGGCCACTGGCAAATGGTTATAACTGTGGGTTTGGTGTTGGCTGAAACACAATGTCCAAAAGGTCAGAGCAGCCCACTTTAGAAGTCAGCAGAGCAGAAAGTGGACTAAGCAATGCCTCCACATCGGAAAGCAGAGGGAGCAAGGATCTAAAGGAAACCCCATAAATCTGAGCCCTCTTCACTAACACTCCCCAGAAGAAGGCATGTAAGTCCCACCTTCCATCTTAAAAGACAGGTCCATCTTAGAGAAGAGCAGGAGGAGAACAAAAATTCTAAAAGACTGAACGTTCATCCAAAGGAGACCATGTCATCTCAAAGAGGCAATTTATAACTACAGACAATGAGGTTAGGACAATTCTTTAGCCTTGTTTCCATCACCCAGAGAAAGTGGGGTCCTGAGGAAGACCAGATCAATTTTAGGGCATAAACAAGCTTTGTACATTTGAGTATACTTTGTAAATTGTGATGCCAAAAATGATTTCTGGTTATTATTAAAATTATTTATATTCACTGAGTAACATTTGGTAATAAGATTAAGACTCCACTTAAATTTTATTTTACCCCAGTCAGACACAGTTCCATGCTTTCCCTATGACTCCATAAATAAAAGTAATGTCCAGTTCAAAAAAAGAGAAAAAAATTGTATTTAAAAATTTCACTCACCTCTCTTTTTAGCCAGTCATTCTCCCAGATCTCTCGATAGCTGCCCTTGTCAATGAACCTTAGAGAATTCTAAAGGAAAGTTTCTCTATTAAGGCAGAGTCGTCACATGATGATTCACGATTTTAGCAATGGTGTTGCACAATCCACTTACCTAATTGTTCATTTTAAGTTATGTTTTGTAATTACTTTGGACACATACCTAAAACTTTTGTTTCAGTTGTTCTTTCTTTACTATCCTACTGTATTGTTTTGCTGGTGCACACTGCCTAATACAGGCAATTTAAAGAACTGGACAATGGCTGTCTATTCATTTTAGCCTTTATCGTGACTGAATCTGACTGCCATGGTAAAATCAATCATTAAATGATCTGCTCCACATTTAGATGGCTAAGCTGCAGTGATCAAACATTCTTCAAGTTTATGGTAAAGACATAATTCAACATCTAGCAAAAGCATGAATAGATTGCATTACTACATTTTAATTTGACTCTAAGTAACTTTCAAGGCCTAAAATTTTATGATACTTTGCTCTCTCAATTCTGACACTTATGGCCTAAGAAAATCCTGAGAGGATAGAGAATCTGCATCTCTTCATCTCTGTCCTCCTCTCTTGCTCTGAGTCCAACTCCGAACCTGGTCTACTGACTTTCACAGCTCCTCTACTACTCTCTCCTCTCCCATGTCAGTAATGGCAATATACATATTTATAAACCTAACAGCAAATAGTTTCAGGTGGCAGGCTAGACAGTCTCCTTGGGGAGGTGGGGGGGGCGGGGGGGGAAGGCATTTTAGATGAAGAAAACAGGAAAAGCCTTACTTAGTAGGTTCATAAAATGTAAATTCATTTTTAATTACTTGGATATTTATAGTGCCACCCAAAGGAACTTTATAGTGGATGACAGATCATATTTATCTATGAGGTACTTTTATATGGATACCATGTTACAAATTCAACAACTGAAGGGCACAACCAAAAGAAATTAAGGAAAATCTTCTCATTCATAAACATGGACAGAAATAATTTAAAAATATGTTAAGGGCAAATTTATCCAAGTCTTTAGAGTTGGTAGATTTACAGTATATATTTTTTTTCTTTAAATAATGCTAACTGAACTAAGAGTAGACCTACATGTTTTAGGAACCAGGAACTTTTATATACCAGCTATAACTGATACTTCTAGTTTCCTCAAACATAGCATTTCATTTGAACAGAAGTAGGAAGTACCTCATAACTGAAGTTAATTGGCTAATGGCTTAATTCACTAACAATAGAACACTGTTTTTCAACTTTGGTCACACATTAGAATCTCCTGGATGCTTTGAAAATCCAGAAGCCCAGGCAATATCCCAGGTCTATTACATGAGCATCTCTATGGGTGCGCCCCAGGAGCTACCTGGGTTAAACAAATTTCTCAGGTGACTCCAATAAGCAGCCAATGATCTGCAACAGTGGATTACAGAAGTTAAACTGTATGTTAAAATAGCCAGATAAAATGAGGAAAATTCATGTCTGTATATTTGGTTATGTGTGTATATTTGGTTATGTAGAGAGAAGAAAATGTGTAGTGTAATGATTAAGAGCAATGATCTAAAGGAGACACCTTGTATTGAATCTTGATTCTGCCACTTGGTTTGGACAAGTCACGAAATTTCTCTGTGCCTCAGTCTTTTCATTAGCAAGTTTCTACCTTATAGTGTTGTTGAGAGACTTAAATGTAAAATACTAGGAACAGTATCTGATGAGTCCTCATTATATATTGAACGTGCATACTGAAAGCATATTTGATCTACTATACACTTTTAATCATCTTAACTATGGTCAGGTCACTTAATTGTTGATTTCACCATTTAGTCATCTTCAGTCTCCAAGTGGCCGAATTGCATGGGCAGACAAACCATCAGTCAGTTTTCCATATCCTCCCTGTATTTGTGTAGATCAGTAAAAATCGCTCAATAGGATAATAACAGTAAATGAACAATTGAGCTAACAGGGAAGCAAAACACAACAGCAACTAAAATTTAGCGAAGAACTTTAGGAAAAAAACAGACATTTATGATTCTCAAGAAGAGATGTTCCAGATGAAGAGATAAACCCAGCAAGGACTGAGTTTAGGAGATAGTCTGGGGACAGGGGAAGGAGAGTGAAAAGGAAAGAGAATCAGATGCTTTTTGCAAAACAAAGAGGTTAGAAAACATATAAGATTGGAAATTACATCTCAAATAGTTTTTTATAGTCCAAATGTTTAAAGCTCAGGTAATGTAAAGTATATTCTTTTAGGTTTTGGATATGTAAGAACGTACTTTTAATTTATTTTAGACAAATTACATTTCATTCTACAATGCATCTAAACTTTTATTTAATAATTTATTATAGCCATCATTATTATACTTAAAAATAACCGAACAATAATTTACTAAGCTCTTGCTTCTTATGAGGCATTATGTTACTGAAATCATCTTATTCAATCCTCATACTATTCTTTAAATGTAAATATTATTATTGTTCCCTTTTTATACATTAGGAAACTGAAGCACAGAAAAGTAACAAATTTAGTTTAAACTCAAACTGCCTGCCTTAAGAACCCAAGTTCTTAACCATTATAACATACCACAAGAAAAAATAGGGGGAAAATATTTGTTTTGTTTTTCAGAAAATTGAAATATACCTGTGTGGCCCATTCCTTCCTTTGGTCCAGTTGCAATAAAGTTTCTCGGATTATTCTCTTCCTAGCATCTTCCAGAGTGATTTTATATTGTTCTTTAAAAAGAAAATTAGAAGACTTAACAAGGCTGATACTGAATAAAACTATGATGTTAGTAAATTTTATCTTCTATGATCCCCACTTCTCCTTTCTACTCATCCCCCCCTTGAATTTTTAGAGTACATTTTTAATGAAGCATCTAGTACCTTCGATTAGAACAAGTGCCCCCCAAATTTACTAACATATTAAGGAGAATTAGTGTAAGATGATGTCTCTCCCAGGAATATTTGTGTTTTCAAAGGACTGTCTCTCCAAAGGGAGAATTTCCAACACTTTAGTATGTGTATGATTTCTACCCTTCATATGCACAACTTCTGATTCCACAGTAGAGCTTTAAAGATTTGATTCTATGCTTGAGTAGCATCCTGTACATCTCACTCCATCTACCTAAATTTCCAGGAATCTTGGCATATGTTTCTTGGTATAGGAAAGGCAAAGTGAGAAGAGGGGAGAATCGTAGAGGGGCTGTGAAAATCAGTCGGCCTGGCTCTGAGTTAGGCTCAGAGCGAGAAAGCAGGACGGAGATGAAGAAGTGCGGATTCCTTATCCTCTCCAGATTTCTTCATGTCACAAATGTCAGAACTGGGAGAGCAAAGTATCATAAAATTTTAGGTCTTGAAAAGTGCTTAAACATTATAGAGTCAACACCCCTGTTTAAGGAAAGTGATGTGCAGTGACATTAAGACTGCTTTACAAAGTAGAGAGAAATAAAGCTGGATAAATGAGTCCAGTTTGCTCATTGTTTATTACAGCAAGTCATCATCAAGCTTTTTTGATGTGCACGACACTATTTAAGGCACAGGGAATGTTGCCGAATAAGAGACAACCCCTGGCAGACTATAAATACATAAACAAACAAATAAATCATATTTCAGGCAGTGATGTGTGCCATAAAGAAAAACTAAAATTCTCTGTTTTAGATAGGAAGATCAGAGAAAGTTTTTTGAGGAGTTAACATTTGAGCAAAGATTGAATAAAGTAGGGGAGACAACAGGGTGCAACAGGAGGGAACTGTACTATTTGAAACCCAAGAACAAAGTTAGTTGTGTTTTATGACATATAACAACTATGTTATATGTCCCTATCAGTTGTATTTCATTTGTAACACGTGAAGGATAATTATTTGGAAGTCAGAAGGTATTTTCCCATACAAGTGATGTTAAGAATTACAGTTGCTAGATTTCTGGCCTGGTACAGAGACCCATTTAACTTATTCTGTAACTAAATAATAGTATTGTACCAAAAGTGCTGTGGAACCTAACTGCCGTTCAGGACATTGTTTTAAAGGAAAAATTTCCTTCATAGACCAAGTCAGCTAAAGCAGAACTCTCAGGGGGCTTTGGCTAAAGGGCAGGAGATCTGTAGGTTTGGTCTTTCAATAGTCTGGAGCCAAACTAAGACTCTGGAAAGGAAACCAGGGAGCTGGGCAGGAGTTATCCAGCCCTCGTCTCTGCTTTGTGCTGGCATCACTACTTCTCCTATTAGACGGAAACTCTGAAAGCAGAGTATGAAAACTTTCTTCCATATCTTTCTATTACTGCAGTCCCTGGGAAACAACAGATACTAAAAATATTTTGAAGAAAATTAAGTTTGGCAAACTTCAAGTCTTTGGTGGGCGATGATCTAAGGCTTCAGCACGAGGTAGCAGCAGCGAAAGATGGCACTTCAGCAGCAACTTTGCTGGGGAATGGAAGGGGGAGTGAAAAGGGAGAAGAGGCGAGCTCCCCAAGTTGTGAAGTAGCCAGAAGGGGGGCTGTAATGGCCAGTTTCTGACTTTAATGGAGCCGTAACAAGAGTGTCTGACTGAGGCAGTGGTTTATGAACAGAGAAAGTTCATGAGGTTTTGGGAACTAGTTTTACTTGACATCTGGAGAATAAGAAATTGGAAGTCTTCATTATTCCAAACTTCATATGCTCATCTCTATAACCTGTATTTTTCTTACTCATTCAGAGTAATCACTTGAATATATTAATCACTCCAATCTCACTGCTGATAGAATTTCTTCTTCTATTCAGGACCCATTCAACTAGACTAATGCTAGGTATCATTAGAAACTTCTACACAACAAGACACACAGTCTAAAAGTTGTAGCTGATAAGAGTTTAGCTATAATGAATTTTACATTCTGAAAGAAACCATAAAATCTGGAGCTTCATAATATTAAATATTAATTCTCTGCTGTAAGTCATAAAACATAGATGACCAAATATGGCCTGACTAAAATTGTAGCATGCTCTCTCTCTCTCTCCAGTGCCATACTAACACTGAAAAAGTAATAATAACATCCAATTTTGTTTCAAATTCCATGTAAAAGTCTATGGACTGTTTTTCTTTTTAAAAGCAGAGTAACCAGCACAAGGGAGGATGTGAAAGTCTTTTTTGTCATCGTTTACGATTCAGATGTTTCAGGTAACAATTATTAACCATTCATTTGTGAATATAGCCAAAGAAACTGGGAGTAAGTAGAAGTCTCCTCATAAACTTTGTGACATTGCAAGTGGGAGAGCGGGTGATCACGGCTTCGTGCCTTGAGACTGCTGGCTGCTCAGATGCCCAGCCTAGTATGTCACTTCTCAGAAGCTGACCACAGCACCACACTGGCCGAAGCTTGCTTTGCACTGTTCTCCTTTCTCTGTTGTTTCTGGCTCTGCTTTGGTTTCCTCCTCCACAGCTTTTTGGGGGTCTGTTGTCCACTCTTCACACACTTTTGGTGTCACATGGCTTTATTGTGCTGATCCTCTCCTGTGGGGTGGCTTCCTTTCAGCCCTTTCTGGAGAAAACTGAACAGAGGCAGGTGGGAATAATGGCCATGTAGCATTTCTTCAGGCACAGTGTGTGTTAGAGAGCCATCCCTATGTCACTGAATCACAGAGTTTGGAGGACTATTTGAAGTATATTGGTCTGGGGTCTGACACACTTGGGTTCAAATCCTGTTTCTATTACTTACTAAGTTTGTGAGTTTGATAAAGGTGTTTAACTTCTCTGGGCCTCTGTCTCCACATCTTTAAACTGGGCACGGTGATATTTAACTCAAAAGAACTTATAAGAATTAGATGAGATAAGATATAGAAAAGCAGGTGTTGGAAATGTGAGTTCTCTTGGAGATTACTGAGTGACTCTCATTTTATGGATGAAGAAGTTGACATTCAAAGAAGTAATATTACTTTTTTGTAGGTGGACTTGAACCCAAGTCTTTTAACTCACTATTAGTGTATAAAGAACTTTTATGGATCCCTGTCCTATGCACCCAATGAGGGACAAAAGAAAAAATGATCTGTGACTCTATTATCTAATGACTTGTAATAACGCCACACTTTATTCCTGGGCCCAATCCAAGGTTTCCTTTTCTTTTATTAAGAGACAGAGCCTTGTCCTGGATATATCAGTGGCTGTGTTTTCTATATCCAATATCCTAACATCTAGCTAAGGTTCAAGGAAGCAGCTCTAGATGCTTTTTGCCTCTGCCTCAAGCGCTCAGTGTGGCCACTGAATGAAGCAGGGTTAAACAGCTGACCAAAGAATGATTTATGCTGGGTCCAATCGTGACCCATGAGGAGGCAAGGACAAAGGTCTTTGGTCATCTTTGATTATATAAGTGATCACCCCTGTTCTCTTCTGAGTCTGGGCTGGAGAATATTGCAAAAATTGGTTTGCTGGAAGCAAGAAGAGAATGGGGACTGGCACAAAGCAAAGCAGAGATGCGACAGACCATGAGAGATAAATGTAGAGAGGAGCCATCCCTAGGGCCCCCACTAATCCAATGGCCTTCTGTTTCCATCTTCAGTCCTCCCATTCCTCTCTAGGAGTGTTATATCCAACGAATTACCGTGAGACATCAAGTGACCCAGTTTTTGTCTCTTTCCTTTAAAATTCATACTGTGAGGCTAGTAACTCTTTTTCAGTAAGATATGTGGCAAATTCTATGAGTTTTCTGGTTCCTTTCTGATAATAAGAGGTCCTCCAATCAGTATTAATGTATCTAGTTTTTTGTAATAATCAAACTTTCAAATTTATTCAAAGTTATGGCTATCCCCCTTCCTAACTTGGACCCACTACTACCATTTCCTTGCCTTGAATGTCTATGGCTCCTCCCTCAGGGATGAAGGGGAGCAGGGAAGGGGACAGGAAAGCTCTTGCTTGACTGATACCACCTCCAGCCAATGTCCCACTTTCTGGTGCTAGTTCGCATTTAAGGTTGAGCCTCCTCTTATGAGGGCATTTTTACTTACAAGAAACCCCCTTCTTTCTAAAGTACTTGTTCCTTGTGAGTAAAGTAGTCTAACACAAACCCCATGATTATTGGTGTGGGAGGAGAATTCCAGAAAAATCATGAAAGAAGGGGGAAGTGGGAGAAGAAGAGGGAAGAACGGTAGTAAGGCTTTAGATAAATCGGTTTAAGAGTCCTGCTCATATTCACTGTGTCCAATTAGTGGCCCCAAAAAGTGCTTTAAAGTCTCCAGAAAGAGTTGCTGCTGCATGGTTCGGAGAAGTGCCTAAAACTAACGGCAAATAAGAGAAGCCCATAACAGCCATTTCCCCAAATTTCTAATCAAGATGATGAGTTAAGTTTATATGAGATCACTCTACTTAAAAAATATAAAATAAAGAAAGGCTAGATAAAATATTTAAAAATTTTTAAACATGCCAGAGCAATAACTGTTTTAAAAGTATAGTACTAGGGCACAAATACATAAACAGATCAATGGAACAGAATAGAAAGTAAAGAAAGAGATCTAAATATACATGGGAAATTAAAGCATGATAAAGTCAACATCTCAGATCAGTAGGGTAAAAATGGGTTATTTGATAAATGATGTTGAGCAACTGGAAAAAACAAATCAAAAATTTGAATATAAAAATTAAGCCATGAAATTCTAGAAGAAAATATTAGAGAATTTATTCATAATCTCAGAAATAATAAAATCAAAGACTGATAAGTTGGGCACTATAAAATTATAAAATTTACTCATATGTACACCTCACAAACAAGAGACCGATGACAAGTGGGAAAAATATTTACGCCTTATATAAGTTAAAGAGCTAATTTCCTTAAAATGTGAAGGGCTCTACAACACAATAGAAAAATGGACAAAGGAAGTGAACAGATGGTTCACATGAAAACAAATTCATATGGATTTTGAACTTATGAAAAGATATTCGCTTATAAGAGACTTGCAAATTAAAGGTACAATGAGACACTGTTTTCTCTACCTATAAGATTAGCAAAGAAGAAAAAGTTGAATAACATCCCCTGTTGTTGAAGATGTGGGAGAATAGGCATCCTCATAGATGCCAGGAGGAGTAAACTTAGTATAACTTCTATGGAGGGCCAAGCCTATCAAAATAATAATAAACGGGCTGTTTGGACCAACCATTTCTCCTTAGAGATATACATAAATTAAATTATGTAAATAGAAAGATATTTATTGCAGTAATATGGGATGTACGTAAGGATATTCATTTCAGCATTATTTTTAATAGCAAAAGTCAAGAAATAACCTAAATGCTTATGAGTAGAGGACAGATTAAAAAATTATAAGACAACAAAACAAAGTAGCCATTGGGAGAATGAGGAAGTACTAATATGTACTGATCTCTAAGGCTGTCCATATTGCTACATGAAAAAGCAAGTGAAAAATTACATCTGTAGCATGCTATTTGTGATATACATGTATATATTGAACTACGCATAGAATATTTCTGAGAGACTACATAAGAAACGGGTAATAGTGTCTCATCTAGCGAGAGGATCTGAGAGGCTGTGGGTAGACGGCGGTTGGTGGGTGTCACTCTCACTCTGTATTTTTCTTTTGAGGAGGAAAATCTTTTGAAAAACTATAAATCTAAGCAAGCTCAGACTGATCTGGGGCCAGATTTGTACTACCATTTGTGGTGCAGAGGGCCTGAGCTGAGAAACTTATATAAAAATTGGTCCAGAAGCAGAGTTCTGCACAAGGCCTCAGCAGGGGATGATGGGAATGACTTCACACGAACCCCTCTACAATGCAGGCACCACCACCAGCAGGGTTCAGGGCTGTCATCCACCCATAGTGTTCTTTCAGGCAGGATTTCTCCCATTTGTTCTATCCTATGACTTTCCTGTCTCTGAGTCTCTAGTGTTCTTTTAAGCCAGTATTTTCACTTCAGCGAAAGGTGGCCTCCTGGTTCGTAGGGCTACCCCTGGTAAGCGTTGTCACATCTGATGTGTCCTGCTCCACACCCTCTCTGCTTCCCGTCTCATATTTGTTCTCCGGTGTTTTCTGACTACAACTTAACCATTTACTTGAGCATAATGATTCCGGTTGTCCAGCCTGGCTGGGTTGCTTTGGCTTGCCTCAGGTGAATTTCCTTTCCTACATAACATGGTCCCAAGACCCTCCTGACTCAGTGGACTTACCCCAGACCCAGGTGTGGGAGCACACAGATACCACCCACTGAATGAAACTTCCTTAAAATGTACAGTTGCTCACAGGGTTTCTCCACACCCCACCTCCCCAAATGGACAAAGGAAGTGAACAGATGGTTCACATGATGGTTCTCCACACCCCACCTCCCTATCCTTTTACTCCCCCTTCTCAGTTTCATAAGTAGTCCCAGGATAGTTTCTCTACTTCCTCCCTTGCCCTCTACCCATGCCCTTAGACTCATAGCTGCTTGTGCTGACAGCAGAGAGGAATGAATGATTCCGGGAGTACCCTTTTTTTTTTTTTCCATCAAATGTCTGCCCTCTAAAGATTATTATTGAACTTGAACTAGCTTTGTTGCAACTGACCTGACATTTTCTCTGCATTCTCTTTAACTTTATTGATGTCATTTTGTAAGGAGATAATGAGTTTAGCATGTTGTTCACTCCCTACATTCTTGTACTCTTCCCAATATTCCTTCTCGCTAAGTTTCTCAAGAAATAGTTTCTCAGCATTACTTATTTGCAAGCGCATATCTGTTAAAAGAAAATCAAAACACCATGTCATTTCTATTGTCTTTGCAACCATTATATATTGCAAGCTGATTTTATGAAGTTAGGGTCTGGTATTAAAATGCTGTTACCTCATAAATTCAATTTTATACGTACAATTTAAGAGAATCTAAATGATTCAAATTACTGTTTAACTATTTCTCATGGTTCAAAATCTAAGTAAAATTAAACTCCAATTCTCAAGTAGATGTGTTATTTTGGGCTGTGAATGAGAGCTATAATAGACAAACTATATGCCTAGGAGCCCACAAGCTTAAACTATTCCTATGATAGCTTGATAAGGGTCCTATCTTGTACAATATATTATATCATATATACTTCTTATTAGTAAATTGACATTTTTCTGGCCATTATTCCTCTGGGCAAAGTGATTTTTCCTTATACAATTCCATAGTCCTAGGCAACAATTTTCGTAAGTCGTTTGATTCTGTCATGTAAAGTTCATTTGTGTGAAATGATAGCATATGATAGTCATAACAACATGTCTTTCCCCGCCCCCACTTATAAGATCTCAGAGTGAAAAGTAAGTTCTCTGTTAAAAGTATACAAATATTGAGCTATGTCAACTATATAAACTTTCAGTTTGCCCTGGTACACTTGCTAAACATGCTATTCTACTCAGTCTTAAGGCTGAATATCATCCTTCTGAATATTTTGGAAAAGGAAGCATTACAAAGAGCCAGGCACAATGAACTTAACAGTTATTTGCTCACTACCACATACCATCGTGTTTGAGAGTTCCTTGGCAGCAATATCACATCTTATTCATCTCTGTAAACCCAGTACTTAGCACAGAGTCTGGCCATTATTTGGTGCTCATAGATATTTATGGAATGACTGAAGCATCCAGTCAGGCCAGAGGGATGTTCTTCAGTCCAGTAGTCCAGAGGACTCCAGACATTACTTTTTTCAAAAATGTAAATAAGATTATATATTTTAAAATCCCTTGATAAATGGCACTTGTTATCATCATTAAATAATGACTACTGTAATCCAGATGGTTTGCTGTCCTCTTATTTGAGCAGACTGCTTCTGTCTCAGCCCTGCGCCACATTCAGCTTTTGGGGGGAAATGTTGGTTGATAATCACCGAAGATTCTGAAAGGGGTGGATATAGTGGCTGTTGCTCTACTGTCACAGAACCCCTCCTTCCCTTCCCTTCTAGTGACACACTTCTCCTACCCTTTGTCAAATAAGTAGCCCAATTACAGTGGCCCCTTCTCCTGACCATAAGGACTGGTCCAGGGGTAAGTATGTGCCCCAAGCTAGGCACATGCTCAGAATCTTTCTGTAGAAATATTTTCACTGAAACTGGGGGAAAACATGTCTCTTTTGTCTCTGGTTTGAGGTTATAAGGATGTAAGATCAGAGGCATCTATGGTTAGAGTTCCAGTCTCATGGGGACGACGGCCTCAGAAAAAGGAGCCAACTTTCAGAGGTAAGACAAAGAGAAAAGAAGAGGGGTAAGGGAGGTCAGGAAGATGGAGGAAGGAGAGAGGGGAAGGGAGATAGGGAGGGGGAGAAAGAGAATTAAAAAAAAAAAGCTGAGATCTGATAGCATGTGAGGCTCTGGGTCCAGGCCAGTAGCCCCCTGCCTTTTCTGCTTGGTTATATGAAAAAAATTACATCCTTTTATTCTTAGAGTAGTTTGGATTGGATTTTAATCCTTGCAAGTGAAAGAGTCCTAACTAAAAGTTGGGGAAAAAGGATTACATTAGTACTTCTCAAACCTCCCTGTGTATGGGAGTCCCCTAGGATCTTGCCAAAAGGCAGATTCTGATTTACTATGGATGGGTCTGAGGTTCTGCCCTGATTGAAGCTGCCATGTGAAGGTGCAGCTACTGCTCCACAAACCAAACTGAGTCGCAAGTGACTACCCAGTACGTAACATAACCGCCTCAGAAATCTTTTCTGATACATCTATTTCCCTTTCTCTCTCCTCCTCAGCATCTATGGGCTGCTTTCTTCCTTGGACCACACACATGCCTAGTCCTCCTTTGCTGGGCTCAGTCATCAGGCTCGGCCCGAGCCTTGTATGACACACATACCCGGCACTCAGCCCAGACCACAAACAGGCACACCTCAACTAGCTGGGCCCATTCTCCTTCAAAGGCAGTTTGTAAGCACATCTGAGTATCTGTTTTGGTTCTACCCCCATCTCAAGGGGCTTACTAAAATATTCCTTCCAAACATAAGCAAAACTCTTCTGGAGAGGAGCCCTCAAAATATGGTATCTACTACCGTATGATGTCACCGTTACCCATAGAGAGACTCGGGAAGGAGGAGCTATATGGGAACAGTTTTAGAGAACTCAAAAAATGAAGTTTGCTGATTAATGTTTTGTTTTGGAATCAATTTCATTTAAAACAACAGATATCTACGAATGGAATGCCTGCTCTGCGCAAAGTGCTTTGGGTAAGGAGGTTCTCCGAAATATTTGGAGAAATTCAAGAAAACCGTTGTTTTGCATCTCAGCTTCTAGTATTGCTTTCTGATAGCACTCAAGTCTCTTATCATGTTTTCCAGCTTCTTAGCAGAGATGGTATTTATAGATGTCTGGCAAAAGTGGTTTTAGAAATTTTAGCAGCAAGTTTAGAATGAAAGAATAGAAATTAAAAAAACAAACAAACATGTGGCAAACTGTGTGTGACTTATCCCCAAGGACCACGGTATTTTTTAAGCCCAAGGCAAGAGTGTGTCCTGGGTCTTTCATCTTCTGCATCTAGCATCATTTCTATCCACTTCTCCCAAACTGCCCCTTTTCCAACTCTAATCCCTCTTTCCACATCTAAATGGGAGGCTTAGCTCCCTTAGAGATATTGGAGTGGGACAAACTTCATGGTTATATTCACCTCATCATTCCCAAGTCTAAACTGAAGCCAAAGCCAATTAAGCCACAAAATGGAGAATTCCTCCAAAGAAAGAACATATGTCCACCATGAGGAGTTCAGAGTGGTACATAATAGGATATTTTCTGGTGTATAAGAGTCAGATGGTTTTCATCTGTCTTTGTGTTTTATCACTGCCCTTATTCTTCCTCCTCCCTTAGTTTCAATATTACTGCCCACTTGTTATTTCCTTCTCCTGTCCATTTACCTACATGTGTTTGTGGTTGTGGTGATAAAGATGTCATCTGAAAAATGTTCACAGCATTTTGAACGTGTGAAGAAACAGAGGCATTAATATAATCAAGAAACAACTCAATACAGCTTTGTGATAATTTTCTAAATCCCTCAATCACCTTTCAAGTTTTGTTCCTGGTCTCTTTCAAACTTCCACTTTTCCTTCATTGCTGTTTCAACATCCTTTCTTGTTACAACTGTTACTCCTTCTGACCTCTCTTCACTCAGTTCCTTCAGTAGGTTCCGTATGTGCCAAATCTGTTCATCCTTTAAGTGTCTATTCTGTCATGAAAATCAACAGTAGTTAACACACCTGCTGAAGGATTTATATCGATTTCCCTCAAAATAGAGTCACATATTGAAGCTTGCAAAATGAGAAACATATTTAATGAAGTAAGTTATACAATAATATCTCTAAAAGTTTATAGAACATGGAAAACTTGAACTTATCAGCATAGTAATCATTAGAAAGTTATATTTTTAAAAATTGTATTATTAGTCCATCAGTCTATCACCTTATTATAGCATCAATGAACATTAAGATTAGACCTTGGATGTCAGTTTCTTCAGTCTCCCTCTAACACCATTTTTCTCTAATGATCGTCATTTATTTAATCAAGATTTATGGAGCATCTGTCATGTGCCAAGTAGTCTTCTATAGACTAGGAACATATCAGTGAACAAAATAGACAAAAAGTACAGCTCTTGTGGAATTTACATTATTCTTTGCTTTTTGCACAAATGACTTTAATTCTCTTCTTTTAGGATAATGTTTACTCACCATACCAGTACTTCGAACTTGAAATAGGGACTGGGTTCCTCTGTGGATATCTCATCTGTTTCTAAGTTTCTAATTTAATAGCTTAGAATTTATTCTTGCCCTTGCTATCTTATTATGTGTATTCAGAGATATTTTAGCATGTGCTAACTCAATATTTTCCTTGTAATTTTTTTAAATTTTTAAAAAATCTTTCAATTAAGTTCATATATAATATTATATTAGTTTCAGGTATACCACATAGTGATTAGACATTTATAACTTATGAAGTGATCACCGTGATAAGTCTAGTACCCATATGTAGTAATTACAATATTATTGACTATATTCCCTGTGCTGTACTTTACAACCCCATGATTGTTTTCATAACTGGCAATTTATACATTTGAATCCTGTCCCATTTCCTTGTAATTTTCTTAGACACTCTTTAAGTTCTAATACTCATCTCCTTGGTGTTTCTCCTTCAATTTTTTAAACTTAATAAAATATATATATTTAAAATATTTTAATACTTCTTTAAAAAATTACTTTTTTCCTATAATTTAACATGCTCTTCACTATTACTTTTTCAACATTATATTTTATTTCTGATATTTGTGTCTTTTATCCTCTTAATTTACTCGGATACTTTAAAGAGTATTTTCTTTCCTAAAATTGATTATCAAGGCCAGTGCTTTTCAAGCTTCAATGTGCATACCAAGTACTTGGGGATAGTTAAAATGTAGATTCTGATTCAGTAAATTTTTCACGAAGCCTGCAATTCTGTATTTCTGACAAGCTCCAGGTGAGGCTAAGTCTGCAGGCCCACAAACCACTTTGAATCGCAAGATTCTGTCAGATAATTTAAATATTAATGATTTATTGATAGTTCTAGAGCCTACTAAAACTCCATTCTTTATTACTTAATCCAACAAACTTTAAACATGAGGACTGACAACTTGATTTTTTAAAATTGTTTAGTAAAATAGGCACTAGTTTAATAAACTCCTCAGATAGGATTTAATGTAAACTTAATTTTCTAAGCTATTCCACAGGCTGTATGATGTGATTGTCATTTCAGTGCTCTGAATTTTAATTTAAAACTTTGATAGACTGAACAAAAGTAATAGGCAATTACTTTATGATGCTCAGTATTGATAAATAAAGGCCAAAAAAAAAAAAAAGACCAAGACTAGACAGGCTTTGAGTGATTTCAAAAAATGGAAACAAAGATTAAAAAGGTATGATATTCAAAATTTAGTGGTTTAATGTCTCTGATATTTTGTTTGCAATATTCTAAAGTATTAATTCTGTCTGAAGAATTTTTAATACCAACAAATTCGTACTATGACAAATCTGAAAACTGAATCTTTTCCTTCTAACTCACTCTTTAAAATCTTATTGGGAGTGCCGTAAGCAGGACTTTTGGAGTAAAGACCTCCGAAAGTCCTCTATGTCATAAAAGCAATAAGAAAATTGTCAAAAATTGTCAAAAACAACTTTTCAGAACTCTGGAAATTAAAGGCTTGTAATAACTCCTAGGGAGTGTCCATTCAAGAAAAATAGTTGAATCTGGATAAGGACAGTGAGCTTTGCGGCATTTTAACTTTCCCTAAAAACCAATAGCCCCACAGTCAAGGTAAAAACCAGCAGCCTCACAGCCTGGAGTGCAGAGTTGGGGAGAGAAGAGAGGAGGTGAACTCTTCTAAAGCCCAATTCCCAAACAACGGTCTTTATTTGACCAATCTGGTAGTTCCCTGGAAAATCCCACTTGCAAACCTTGTTTTTATTTGACCTGACTCAGAGCTTGCCCAGTGTGTAAACAGCCTTTTCCCAGACTGATGTTTGTTAAAAACAATCAGAGGCAACTGTTGAACATTATAGCACCCTGAGGTAGTAATAACAGTTGGGGTAAACAACAAGCTGAAAAAAAATCTTTCAAGGAAAGCTGGAGATGAAATGTCCATAGGGGGCTTTGAAAGCTCTGACATATTCTTGGGAATCTAAAAGGCCACATGCATGTATAAGGAGGGCCGTGAGCATATTCAGGGCTGTGCATGTGTTCAGGAAAGACCTAAGAAGGCCCTATGCACTCACCCCTAGCTGACCTTGAGGCTCTGCAGAAGCAAGAAGTAAAGGTGAAGATGAAGTTGTAAATTGCTTGGCTGAGTGTAGAAGGCATGTCCCAACAAGCACACAGCGAAGGCCGTGTCTTAACAAGCACACACAGGCCCTCAGCAAAGGCTGAGAGATTTATTGGTTAGAAACATTTAGAGAAATTTCTTAAAAAAAAAAAAAAAATCCTAAAGAAAGAAAGAAAGAAATTTCTTTCCAATCATTAGCTGACCACTAAGCTAAGCAAACAAAGACTTTAGTGGCCACGCACAACAAAAAAAAAATACAGGCTTCACAGAATTAGTTTTAAAAAAGTCACTAACAACCAACAGCTACAATAAGCAGCAACAACAACAAACCCTGGAGAGAGAAGAGAATCCGATTTCCAGAGTTGTCACATTATAATATTCAAAATGTCCGGTTTTCAACAAAAAGTTACAAGAAATATAAAGAAGCAAGAAAGTATGATCCATACACATTCTTACTGAGATTTTTATTATATACAGGGAAAAAGGGTAGACAACAGAAACTGTCCTTGAAGAAGAACAGACATTGAATTTTCTAGACAAAGACTTTATTACATTAGCTATCTTAAATATGTTCAAGGAGTTAAAGGAAACCATGTCTACAGAACTAAAGAAATGTATGAGAATGATGTCTCACTAAATAGAAAATATCAATAAAAAGAAAGAAATTATTTTAAAAAAGAATCGAATAGAAATTCTGGAGCTAAAAAGTATAATAATTGATGAAAAATTCAGTAGAGGGGTTCAATAACAGATTCAAGCAAGCAGAATGTTGTTCAGCCATTAAAAGGAATGAAGTGCTATGCTATGGACTGAATGCTATGTCCCCCTTGGCTCCCTAAAATTCACATGTTGAATCCCTCATCCCCGATATTATGGTATTTGGAGGTGGGGCCTTTGGGAGGCAATTAGGTTTAGATGAGGTCTTCATGGTAGAGCCTCCATGATGAAATTATTGCCTTTATAAGAAGAGAAAGAGGTCAGAGCCCTCTCTTATTCTACCACTGTAGAAAAAACAAAAACAACAAAAACCCACCACTACCAACAACAAAAAAGCCCTCGATCTAAGTCTCGTACCTCATATAAAAATTAACTCGAACGGACCATGATTTAAATGGAAAAGATGAAACTATAAACATTTAAGAATACAACATAGGATAAAACCTTTGGGATCTAGGACTAGACCAAGAGCTATTAACTTGACACCAAAAGCATGATCCATAAAAAGAAAAAAATTGGTAAATTGGACTTTATTAAAATTAAAAAGTTTATTCTGCAAAAAGACCCTGTTATGAAGATAAAAAGACATGATACAGACTAGTGCTAGATACTAGTGCTAGTATCTAAAAGATTATCTTCTTATCTACCTACCTACTTATCTACATTTTTAAAAATTCTCGCAACTCAACAGTAAAAGGTAAAATCTAATTAGAAAATAGGCAAAAGACACAAAGATAAATTTCACCCAGAAGGATAAATAAGTGGCAAATAGATACATGAAAAGATGTTTAACATCATTAGCCATTAGGAAAATGCAAACCAAAACTACAGTGAGCTATTACTACCCACCTATCGGACTGGCTAAAATAAAATAGTGACATCATCAAATGCTGGCAAGCACATAGAGAAACTGGATCACTTATATATTGCTGGTGGGTTTATAAAATGATACAGCTACTCCGTTGAAAAGGATGCCAATTTCTTACAAAATGAAACATTTACTTACCATATAACACAGTACAAGCACTCTTAGACATTTATCTCAGAGTTTAGTGTAGATATTATTAAGTTTATACATAATGGCAAATATATAGTAATGTTTCTGCAACATTCAATTACACTTTTAGGACATGTGACACTGTTTTAATTTACAAATAAAAACATTACATGTTTAAAAAGGATGGTCATGTTAAAGATTTGATGTAAAAGAACTTGATCACTTCGAGAAACATTGCGCTAGGTATGAAAGGTAAAGGAAAAATTTCTTTATATATTATATATTTCTTTATGAATTGTATGTAGTGATTTTAAAATTATCAACATCTTTGTAAATGTTCTGCCTATATATCATGGTAAACATTTTTTAGCTGAAATTTATTTTAGAGGTCTTTGTTGCCTTATTAAAATTAACTAACATAAGTAAAATTGGATAAAGATTTATTTAGTATTCAAACATACTTGATAAAGGAATATTCCACTTCTAAAAAAATAAATGAAAAAGCCCATATTTAGAAAAAGGATTAGCAGTGCAATAGTTTGTTAAGGGATATTTTCATTGCTATGATTCAAGTTTCTATGAATATTTCATTTTCAAATAACTTATGTCAGGCCAAAGTAATTAAATTTATTTATAAGAAAATAAAACATAAATCTATTTCATTCAAGAAAATGGAATATTTGAGAATTGCTTGAAGAGTAACAAACGGTTTATTTTTCTGTTACTGATGTTGATTGACCCTCATTTTTAAATCAAACTTTTTATTTTGAGGTAATTATAGTATAACATGCAGTCATAAAAAAAATAATATAGAGACGTCCTATGTACCCATTACCTAGTTTCCTATAACATATTCCAAAACCGTGGTACAATACATATCAAAACTAGGATATTAATACTGACAATATCAACACTGATACAGTCAAGACAGAACCTTTCCATCAATACAAGCATCCCTCATGTTGTCTTTTTGTAGCTTCTCACTCTCCCTCCCAATTACACCCCTTCCTTAACCTCTGGAAACCATCAATCTGTTTTCCTTTTTTATAAATCTGTCATTTCAAGATTTTTTTTTTTTTTTTACAAAAAAAGATTCAGTAAATAAGCTACAAAAAAGGGATTAATTTTGTTTTGTTATAAGCCTATCTCATGGGCTTTATCCTTTTAACTTTTCAAGATTCACAAGAACAAGAACAGAACTTGCCAAAATTGTTCACGGAGTTCCCATCTATTCACCTAGCTTTCGCCAGTGATAACATCTTATATAACCACAGCATATTATCAAAACCAGGAAATTGACATTGGCACAACGATTTTAACTTAACTAGAGATGTTATTTAGATTTCACCAGTTTTTACATGTGCTATTTTTTTAGTGTATAGAATTTTGAAATTTGATCACATATACATGAGAATTATCACCACATAGATGGCATTTGAAGTCATAGTGTTAAATAAGGTCACCCAGAGAGAGGTTAGACTGAAAGCAAAGATTTGAGAATAAAACCTTAGTGAATACCCTAATTAAGGGATGAGTCCAGGAAAAGAACAATGCATGAAAAACAAGAAGAAATAGAGAAGCAGGAGGAAAATCTAGGAAGAATGATGTTCTGGAACCCAAGGAAAAAGAGGTTTAAGGTGACAGAAGTGACTGCTGAAGGGATGAAGGGTGAAGAAAGGACTATGAAGAGTTCAGTGGACCGGGCTAATTGGTCATTAATAACTTTTGCTAGAGCAGTGGTGGTGGAATAGTAGGAGTGAAAGAATGAATGGAAAGGTACGGAAGTAGACGTATTGAACTATGAAGCGTCTAGAGAGGTAAGTGGAACAATGAATGCAATCGGAGAGAAAGAAAGATAATAAATGATGTGATAATCTAAGGTAGGAAGGAAGAGGGGCGTTTCTGATTTTGACATAACTGAAGAGAAAAATTATGTCTTGCTAATGAATCATATTTAATTTATCAATTTAACTATTGTGACCTCAAAAATTTTTCCTTTCACTAGCGTTGGTGTGAATCAACTCAACAACTATTTATTGAACTGGGACCTTCTAGAGAAACAAAGTTAAGTAAGATTGATTGCTGCTGCCTGAAGAGCTTTCCATTTAATGACGGAGATATATTTCTATGTAACATTCCAGCTTTGGAGGAATGAAAAGGAGCTAGCCAAGAGAAGAGAATTCCAGGAAGAGAAAATAGCCTCTTGATTATAAAGAGATTGGGTTTTCCAAGATTTAAAAGAAGTGGTAAGCAAGGGGTGGAGCGGCTGGAGACGAGGTTGGAGAGGTGAGTAGAGGTCGGAATTTGCAGGGACTTGGAAGGACTGTGGATTTTATCTTCTGTGCAATAGGAAGCCACTGCAGGGTTTCAAGCACTGACAGGAGGTTTGCAGTATTCAAAGGGCAATTCTGGTTGCATTGGGAAAATGTACTGAATCGAGGAAAGATGATGGTGGCTTAAACTGGGGCAGTAGCAGCATAAATGAAAAGAAATAGATTCACACAGTTTGAAGCAGTCTGCCTCTCCATGCTCCTCATTGCTGGGTCATTAGCGAATGACCTCAAGAGCAGTAAGCCCCTCCGTGGGCTAATCCTCACGGAAACAAGAACTTTGTTTCTGGCTCCGACTGATGGGCTATGGGAAAGCGATTCCTTAGTCATGATCTTTTGTCCTTTCCACAAACAAATGGAAGTCCCAAAGCTGACCTAGGAGCCTCAGTGCTGACCACGGGGGCATATGCATTGGTACCTTGATGGCAGGTCATTCCTTTTTCGTGCTCTGAATTTCATCATGTGGAACTTGCATCCAAGCACCTAGGCCAAACTTCTCACTCTCATCTCTCACTCTCATCTAGGGCCCCGAGTTTCTGTTTTAGTTCCTATTACCAGAGACTGATCCTTTAGAATCATAACAATGTCAGGGGCACAATTATATCATCACCAGGGCTTGTCTTGCCCAATAAATATTTGCTGAGTGAAGGAACTAATGAGCCATATGAAGAAGACAGGAATTCCCATTTTACAAGAGGGAAATTGAGGCTCATCCCAGTTTTGGCCAAAATGATATAAGCAGTAAGCTATATAGTCAGGATGGGAACTCAGATTTCTGACCCCAGATAGCATTAAGATTTGTAGATATATAGTCTTTATAGACAAAAGCCAAATAAAACAGTTAAGTGTGGAAAGTTCAGGGTCCATATAAAATAAATGTTTTAATAAAGGACACTCAGTATTTCCTCATTCATGAGACTCTTTAAGAGATAAGTTGTGTTAATGATCATTTATTGCTTCCAAACTTTATTTCTGTTGGTCTTTAGTTCTGATAGTCATATACAGCACCTCTTTGATATTTATTTTAATCTTAAACATATATCATCTTAAACATTAAATTAGTCATTTTAACAACTGAGATTGTACTTTTCAAATAATATTAACACATGCATAGTCTCTGAAAATCTAAAAGAAAACAAATACAAAAATTAAAAAGAGAACCGATGTTTTAGTTTGGTTAGATAAGAAATTAAAAGATTAACATGGTTTCAGAGCTTTAAAGTTTGAACATAAGACTCAGTGTCCTCGTGAGCTAAATAACATAATTCAAGCTACTTCCTTTGACATTATAATTAATAGGAACGGTTGTATCCTTTTGCCTCATATGTATAAAAAAACTTAAATAGATTGTAAATTAACCACTTCTAAGCGTTAAATAAGATAATTTTTTAGAGTACATTTCATCATAAATCACAATTTCTTAAAGCATTTGTAAACATATTTAATGACTAGATATAGGCTTTAAATCTCATACTCACTCTCTCCTGACACTTTTGGTTTTTTTCTCTAAGTTTCTTTATTTGAGCCATGAATCGTTCGACTGCATTTTCCTTTATTTGACAACTGATAACAAGCAAAGATAAGATTTATTACAATTACTTATCTTAAGAAAAATTAATTGAACATGATTTAAAAATGAAACTAAATTATTTCGTTTGAAATAAAGTATTAAATATATTACAAAAACCCATTTAAGGATAAGAATCTTTATTAAATGATTTTGTGTTTCTCAGTATTTTATTCACTAAAATATTAAATGATATAAAAATTAACATATATATATATTAGAGAGATCACTTCAAGTTTTTTTCTAATCAGTCACCATTTTTATTTCACATATAAATATTAACATATATATAAATATTAACATATATATATTAGAGAGATCACTTCAAGTTTTTTCAAACCAGTCACCGTTTTTATTTCATAGTCATAATTGTGATACTAATTATCTATAAATAATCCAGCTTAAAGAGAATCTAGGAAAGGGCACACAGAAAACATACTTTCTAGAACTCTAAAAAAATTCAGACAAAAATGACAGAACAAAGACTTTGTAAGAGCATGACCATCTTGAAATAGTAAAGTAAAGTAGGCCTGCCTCTTGGTTCAAGTTCATTAGTATACCACCTCATCTATAAATAATAAAAGCTTCCTTCCTGACACAGATACTTTTCTTTAACATTCACAAGTATTTGTTGAGCATCTGTTAGGTATGAAAGAGAGAGAGAAAAGTGCAGAAAATTGGTATAGCCCATCTGATAGCTATTTTGAAGTGTTAAGTATAACTCTAAGTCTCTATTACCTAGTAAATCTTATACTTTAAATCTGAGAACAAAATAAGGACACAGAAATAGCTCTATATAAATTCCTATCTCAATTAAAAACAAAATAAAACAAAAATATAGCAGTTCTGTAGTATATTGAACAGAGGAGTGGTTAAAGAATGCAATACCCTGGTTTTCAATCATGCCCCTACCACTTCTTACCTACCTGACCCTTGGCAAGTCAATTCTCTGAGCCTCAATTTCCAAGCTGTCAATGGAGATAACAACATGAAGCTCTACATATTTTTGTGAGGATTTTTATAAGGATAAAAGTAAGAAATCATATGTGAATGTTTCTTTAAAAATTTTTTTTTGCCTTTTTATTTTCTTCCTCTTTTTTATGTTCCTGTATGAATGTTTCTGACATAAAATACTTAGTCAATTTCAACTGAGTTTGAATCTTACAGCCTCAGTCTTTCCCACAAAATATCATTCATATTTTTGATATTGTATACTTAATAGAGAGTATACAATAGGCTCCTTCTTTCCAAATAATGAGAAAATTCAATATAAAAACAAAACAAGTAAATCCTTTAGTGGAAAAAAAAAAAAAAGCTCTGTTCGGATACTATGAAACTTGGATTTTAGGCTTGGTTCTCTGCTAACTGCCTCTGAACCTATTAGGCTTGGCTTACTTTTCTGTAAGAGAATGAAGATGAGTTTTATGGTTCCTTTTCAGCTCTAAAATTCTGTAATTTAAATTGATCAATGTTCCCTTTCATTCAGTCATACATACAGTATAGATTTAATGAGCAGCCACTATGTCCCCAGCATTGTATACTAGGGAGTATAGAGACAGCAATGAATAATATTTTCATGATCCTTGCCATCAAAGAGCTTGCATTTTACTAGGCAATAAAGAAGTAAATACAAACATATTATTTACACATTGTGATAAATGCTACAAGGGAAATAATTAGATATGAGAACGATAGTAAATGGAAGAACTAATATAGACAGGTGGTCTCCACACAATAGTAAGAAATAAGGCTATAAGCCATTTTTTCTGTCTTACCTAAAGATTAGATGTGCAAAAATTTTAAAAGAGTGCCTTCTCTATCTCCCATTTTTAAGGAGAAAAACAAAAATATTACAAATGAAAATGATCTGAAAAGAATGTATGCAAATATGTACTAATTACTCATATAATTTCTGCAATTATAAGTATGGAAATCCTAATTCTCTGCATGGGTAAAACAGGCAAACAAATCTCAAGTACGTGGTCTCCATTGGTTTGAGACCAAGAGCTTACCTTGGTGATGACTGAGCATGTAAAGATGCGGCTGGAGACTACATCTAGCCTGAACTCCAGACCATGCATGGGACACACTTTTAATAAAAATATTATTTGTTGTTTATCCAAAATTAAAATTAAATTGGGCATCTGTATTTTTATTTGCTATATCTGGCCACTCTACACTTAAGCCTCAGAGCATTTTAGGAGCAAACAACCTAGGACTTTGTCTTGTGTTCCTTCTGTAGTGAACAGTTCAGAAAGATCTGAGTGGCATCAGCAGGCCTCAGGGGGAATTCTGAGATGCCCTAAAGGTTTTGGTGGCTTCATTACCCGCTTTCTGGACCGCATGGTATTTGCAGGTGTAACTTAGTCTCACCTCTCCTTGGAATTCAATTCCATCTCTTCAGGTCTCATGAAGAAATGGATTTACCAAGAAGCAAATGAAACTGAACTTCAGAACTCCATACTATTAGCCACTGTGAGAATTCAAGCTTCACCGTTCTATTTTTTTCCTTTTCATATTTTCCTCATCTATTCAGTGCCAGAGTAACCCACATATCACGTTAAACTCTGAAGCAAGCAGGATAATAAACCAGTGAGGTAATATACACTAAAGTGGTTTGAAAATGATATAACACTATTCTAAGACACAATGATATGAAATTGTTAGTAATACAATGTGTCACCTTTTCCCTTCCCTCCCTGTATTATTGAAACGTTAGTAATGTGTCAACTACTCTCTTCCTCCAATCTATGCTTGTATCTATTTTTTACCCATAATCATATCCACACCTGTATCTATATCTATAATCCATTCCCCTTGTAGAAAACTGGGAAGAAAACAAATACCAAGTAGAAAATAAAAACCATCATTACTCAGAAACGATCACCTTATAGATTTAACATTGGCAGTCTCAGCTCTTCACAAACAGCCACAGAAATTCATGGCCTTATTTTCTTGGGATAAATTCAAAAAAAGTTCAATTGTTCTCTCAGCTTTTTGTTAGGAGCTGAGATTGTATAAGAGAAATATTAGATCCTGCAGACAGGCCCTTGAACAATTATTCCTCAGATGACAAGGGGGGTGTCTTGGCAATTTGTCATGTGACAAGAGTTTTGTCACTTGGGAACACATAGATTGAGTAGTGTCACTAATAGAGCACAGTACAGCAAGGCATTGGCTGTTCAAGTCCATGAGATTATTTATTTGGTTATAATAGAGGAAAGAGAACAAAAGCATGAGATGTTTAATTCACATCTTGCACTAGATCATAAGAATTTTTAAATGTTTGCCTCTTTATAAACCTCTGTTAAAGAGGAGAAAGACTTCTGATTGACCCAGAAGAGAGAGAAACAACTGTAATTGGGTGTCATCACTATAAACCATGGGATTAAATTAGATACCAGGTTGTATTTACAGAGCCAGACTTTTTGTCCACCTTTCCTAAGATGAGATGAGGAACGTTATCAGTTAAGTTGAGAAGTGAGTGCTTAATGTTATCTCAAGAAGAAAATAAAAGAGAAACTTTCTTAAAAGTCCTTTTCCATGAATATTTCTTTCTTAGTGTTTTCACTCACTGCCTTCTGAAAAATTTGGAGTCTCTCAAGGAGATGGATTTTCCTTGAATGTTGTTAAAAACAATTCTCTTAAACAAATACCTCATCAACGGCCTCACAGGCTCCCCACTTTCAACCTTGTCCCCTCCAGTAAGCAGCTCGCCATTCCCAAATAGCAAGTGTTCCACAGGGCTCTGCTTATCTGACCTTTGTTTAAATCGCCTGTCTGTGCTTGCCTTCTCTCCCTCACTCTACCTTCTCGCATTTGCTAGACTGTGAGAAGCACTTCCTCACCCCAGGGTCTTCCTAAGCCTTTCTCTCTCCCACGCTGTCTCCATGACACCTGTTCCTCTTCCAGAGACCAGCTTAAACACTGTTTCCTCACACAAGCTTTTCCTGAGCCTTGTGACTATATCTAGTCCTTTAATTATACCCGTACACAGCACCCTACACTTTTCTTTCATAGAATCTCAATTTAGCTATGTAATTTTTCCAAAAGCTTGGATTACTTGTTTCATGTCTCTCTCCCACGCTTCATCAGGGCAGGGACCATGTGGTCCTGTTCTCTGTTGTCTTCCAGTACCCAGCACTTGCCTTGTACTTGGTAAACATTCAAGTATTAGTTCAATAAATGTATAAATGAAGTCCATTCGTATTTGGAAAAAGACTGTCATGGAATCACTCGCTCCCTAAGAATTACACATTAAAACATCTACTCTTGGCCCAAAGGTGAGGTTCGAAAGCTCTTGAGGAGCTTATGCTCCATCAGTTGAACAGAACATAAACACAGAATAGGTGTCACCTCTAGTTTTGTCTCCAGCTCCTGAGAGTGAAACATTAAGAAATATTATTCTTATTGAAAATAATTCTCTCTAAATCATTTGGATTTTACCTATGACTATAATGCAAATTGGAATGTCTGGAAATGAAAAGTTGAATAAAGAAGAAAGATTTCCTCTCTTACTCTTCTATGAATGTTCGCTAACTATTCTGTGCTGTATTTTAAGAGGCAGGCCAGCAAGCTGGTGGGTATATATGGGAGAATGACCAATAATACAGTAGAGAGAGGGAGGGAGCTAACCACATTAATGAATGCTGTTTCATAGCTACTACTACTTTGGACTATGTTATAGTCAGTTTCAAAAAACTTTTAAAAATATGCACATAGCACAAGAGTGCAATTATGCCTCCCATCCACCTCTGATCTAGCTCTCCTTACAGCTTTTGAATGCATCATTTTCCATTTGGATTACATGCGTCTTAACAATGGTTGCCATTTACATAGGAAACTTTTAATAATTTAAACTTACTGATAGTCCAGAAATGCTTCACTGGTAGGCAACTTCATATCTTTTGGTGGCTCATCTTGAATATCATTTTTATTTGCTTTTGCTGTGTTTTCCATGATGTTGCTTAGCTAGTAAGAAATATACCTGTTTAGAAAAGAGACATAGAAAAAGTAAATAAACTCTGTCTTTGCCCCTCTCCTTATGTTTACTCAAGATAAGGCACTGCTGAAACTTAATTTAAAATTGGCTTTTCCATCAAGGCTGCTTCCATGTCCCCAGACCTAACACTCACCACCACGTTGGGACATCATGAATCAGTTGGATTCCCTTTTATTTCCTTCTTGAGTCTGATGAGATCTATGTTTAGCCCAGGTACAGCTTTCTCACACCCAAAACCATCTGAGACTCACTCCCTTATGTTATCCATCTACGTCTGTTGCTCCTGTCCAGCTTCTTTAAGAGCAAGAACTGAACTTTTTCGATTATTTTATTTCTCCAGTGTTTGGCAGGTACCACATATAGCAGCAGCTCAATAAATGTCTGTCAATTTTTAAAAATTAAGATAAAGCAAAAGCACAACTTTCCATGAGCACTAAGAAACTAGAATCTAAAGGAATCATGTTTGGCCGGGGTTGTTATAAAGAACAAATAAGAGCACATGTTACAGTGTTTTTTAAATGTTTAAGAGATTTACAAATGCAAAATAGTAAATAACAATAATAATAATGTACTATTATTAGCAGTAACTTTTCATCAGCTATTAATTGCTTTTGCATATAATAATAAAAAGTTATCAAAAATAATATTTTTAAAAAGGGGAAATCAGGCCCACAGTTCATAGATTTTTATAGTAAATAGGAATACTTCATAGATTTAATATAGGTACTAAACTACTTTTTTTAAGATCACAGTCTTAACAAATTTTTATCTTTCAATTTCTATTAATCTCAAAAAAAATAAGTGCCTAACCTTCAATCAATCTATTAACAGTCGAGTGTGGCAGAAAGAACATAACCTTTGTAATTATTTGTTAAAATGGCTGGAAACTTTGTGAGAGTGGGAATGATATAGTTCCTATGCATTATTGTATTTATCCACCTAAAACAATAGATGCACAATAAATCCTTGTCAAATGGATAAATGAATGGATAGAAGAACGAATCAGGCAGATGTGCTTTAATCCTAGATCCACCACCACCTGGTATATATGTATGTAAACTTGAGTAGTTTACTTAATCTTTTTGAGCTTTAGCTTCATCACCTGTAAAGTGAGGACAAAAATCTTATTCTGAAAGCTGCTGTGAGGATTAAATAAGCTAATATTTATATAAGGCACCTAGCATAGTGTCTGACATATAGAAAGAACTTTATTATGCTCCCTTTAGTTACAGCTCCAGATCATGCTTCTTCAAATTTCAGGTAACTAACTGTAAAGCAGAGATGTCTCTGCCTGCTGCCAAGTATGACATGTGGAAAGGTTAATCCATGCAGTTTGCTATTGTCAACATTCATCATTTATTTGGATCACTGAATTGGCAATCTACATAGATTATTCAGACCCAAAATGGAAAAACTCTTTAAAATGAAAACACTTTTTCCCTGTAGACACGCTGCTCGCACACCCAGACCTCCAGCAAGGCTCAGTCTTTTGTGTCTGAGACTTTTCTAGCCAAGTGTGTTCATCCTTGTATTCTAATGGATTCTATTACATGTGAATATAAATGTACTAAAATGCTTTCCAACTGAAAAAGCACATAGTGACACAACAAAAAGATTTAATATATTAAGACAAGCTAATATATTAACTGGTATCTTCTCAGATATGAAAATATTGAGAATAATTTCATGAGTTGCAAACCAAACTGTGTCATTATACCATCACAGTTCACAGAAATTTACTAGCTAAGAAAAAAAAATTACTTTCTTTTGTTTCAGATGCGGAGTTGAATTTTCATTATTTTCTATTCAGAATTAAAATTTTTAATTTCACTGTTGCACAAAAAGATAGCATGATGACATGTTTCATTTTACAATAACCTACCAATAACAATGATTTTTTACTATAAAATATTTTATTTAAAAATTAAAACAAATAACATTAATCTCTAATTTTCTTTCTGAGTCATATGGAAGAGATCAAAGTGTCACGGTTCCACCTGTGGCGCCCATCTGGTGTTGGAGGGAAAAATGACCTCATCTCGCTCAATTATCTAAGTTACCTGGCTCTTATGTTTTCAACTCTCTAATGTATAATTAGTTACCTAACTGCCACTCATGGAAAAGGATTTTAATAAAATATGAGTTAAAGTGTGGATCCATTAAACCCAAATGATTTATGCATAAACTGTATTAAGATTTATTGTTTCACACACTTTCCAGAAAATTAGTAAGCCAATTGGATTGTCTGCTTAATAGTTGCATTATTGCTATGAGCTAATGACATTGCCTCAAAATGTACTTTTGCATTTGATAATGTCCTACAAACAATGGGGATTTTTGTAAACATTTATAAGAATTTACGGTTCCTGACCACCTAGATGATTTCTGTCTTAGTAATGGATGAGAATTCTAGAAAAATATTCACAAAGTAATGTGATTATCTTATAGGAAGGTTTCACTTGGAATATTTCCTGACAAACGGACACCTAATCTGTTTGACAGTAACTGCAAACATCCATTCAGTGCCTGCTCTATGCGTGGCACTTTACCTGGCCCGTGGTTATAAAATATAGAGGAGGCAAGATCTCTACTCAGACTGGTAGGAAGAACAAAGCAGAAATTTTTAAAAATAATAGACAGCTTTAAAAGACTTTAGCAAAATTATGCAGGTAATACATGCTACGGAGATCTTCGCTCACAGTGTGACCTTTTGGGCTGTCTCTTTGTCCTCCATCTGGGCGTTCTATAACATATGCTGTGGAGTGAGGGCAGGTAAGGAGGCTGGGTTTGAAAGACTCAAGTCCCCAGCCTCTTCAGAGTCTACTCCATAATCACCTTCTGTCAGAAAATGTTTCCAAAAATATTCTCTAAGTGCTTCTCACTGAAAAGCAAATAGTCTGTTTAGTAAAAAAGGGACACATCATAGCCATGTTCTTCAATGTACTGTTACTCCATAATGCCTTATCTGACTCTCCAACATTACTCAAAAAACAGAGTATGTCCCTTACTGTGAAGTCTCAGGATGCTAGTTCAATATCTAGAAAGTTCCTAATGACTTTTTTTCACAACTTTGTGGAGCCACGACTATCCAGAAGCCTCTTAATGACTCCTGTCATAATTTTGTAGAGGCTGGAAAGGATGGAAGTTCTGCCCTGATACCTTTTCTGGACATTTGGAATAGATCTTGACATTAGGTAATATTTTACATAAATGTAGATCAAAATGGAAGCTATATACTTAATAGCATTAGCAATGACAAAAGTTCTGAATAAGATTCCATCAGGGGTTGAGAGCACAGTTTAGGTAAAAGATTTCCATATGGGTATTAAAAGTCTTGAAGTCTAATCTTGGATTTGCCATTAAGTAGCTATAAACTTGTGTAAATCTAAATAATATTAATAATAATAATGATAATAATAATAATACAGTACTTCCAAAAGCCTTTGTTAAAGAGCAATCTAAATTTAAAGCCACATATCTCACTATAGGGTTGAGCTATGTATTTAAAAACATTCATGGCATTCATCTTCGACAAAATATAACTCCTTTAATACTGAATAGCAATTACTTCAATAAACCCTTATCTTTGCGAACTCAAAAATAGACATCGGCTCATAGGCCAGCATCTCCCATGGGCACACACTAGACATTCAATAAATGTCTAATTTGAATGACTGACTTGTAAATAATGTGTGCTCATTCTTTACCAATAGCCCTCTTTATGTGCTCATAATGTTATATATCCTGTGAATTTGGAAAGTGAAATCACTTTTAAACTCAAATTCTAACTTATGCTAGAACAAATTTTTAATACAATTTTAAAATATTTTAGAAATGCTCTCCAGCATATATTAAAAAAAAACCCTGAATTCATAGAAAGCAGTGATATCATCTAAAAGTTAGCTTAAAAAATTTCAGACCTCTTTTTGCATAGATTATGTACATATAGTCCCAAACATAATCTTTTTGCATAGATTATGTATATATAGCTTTAAAACGTAAAATAGAGCCAGTTTAAAGATTGATTAAACAACCATATATTCAAATCAAGGTATTTAAAAATATCTGGATGAATAACAGTTTCAATCTTCATTCACAGGACTGTGATGGGCATTACATTAGCATATATTTTCTTTACCAATTCAAACCCTTTGGTCAGTGGCACATTTTTGAACTGCAGTTCCGAAATTATATCGGATTCTTAGCTTAAAAACTAGTCTAGCTTCTGATCCTGACTTGCTCATAACATAGTTTGAAATGCAGTGTATTATACTAACTTCTCAAGCAACCAGAACTATCCCCTTTTCCCCAACTCCTGTGTTCCTTCGGCTTTAGAAATGTCAAAAAAGAAAAGCAATGTAGCCCTGAAGAGATTATTGTGAGGATAATGGGAATACTCTGATGGGGGAGAATAACAATAAGGCTTGTGGGTCTTCAAAGAGCAGTGATGAATATAAAAAGTGTATACTGGGGTTGGGTTTTGGGGTGGTGAAAAGGAAATTCATGACCAATCAACACACGGATGATATCCAGTCTTATTATTATCCTTCTCAGCTTTCACAGAAAATTTTTTTTTCTTAGATGGGACATCTTCTCCCACCTCCCAAACACTTCCTCAACTCTCTCTGCCCTGTGGAGAATTAATTAAGGGATAAGAGGGGGAGGTGAGGAAATAAGGTACTATACAAATCTAACAAAAATAATAATAAGCCAAAGATCGGGAGAATGAGGGTGACATCAACAGCACACACGGCATTTAGGAAGTACCTACGGTTGGGGGTGCTCTGTGCTGGTGTGGAGAAGGATGCAAGAACGTGTGAGGTCCTCCTCACTCAGAAGGCATTCACCTGACCCGGAATTCAGTTAGAAGAGCGCTGAGGAAAGCAAGACTTGAATCTAGTCCTACTCCTCCACCAGCGAGTTTCATAACCTGGGACGTCTCTAAACCTCTCTCACCCTGTTACCCTTCTATTTTTACCTTCTCT